GCAGCTAATGCGTGGTGGAGATTTATGTTGGCCACTGGTCACAAACATGAGAGATCGTTTGATGCATCTTTGCAGTAATCAATTTAATAAATTAGTAACATTTATTACAGTAAAAGCTTTATTATTATAGCTGTAAGTTATCGATAGGCAAGACTAATATAAGGGGAATGAGGTTATTATTTTAATCTTTATTCACTGCACTTTCGTATAATTTTGTGAAAAGACAACCTGTTAAACTGCTATAACAAATAATAAAATAGGTCTTTCTAACGACTATGTCAATATCAAATACTTTTTTCTTCTGTATCTTATCTGATAGTCGGCAAGTTATATCTACAGAATTGTGAAGATGCACGACACAGTAGTCAGTTTCAAAAATTGCAATTCTCTATATAGTTAGTTACTGATACAAACTGTAAGTAGTTTTAATTTGTTTGCTAATTATAATTTAGAACAAAGTGTTTGTTGGATTAATTCGAAATAAATTTTTATTTTATTCACTTAAACCTGCAGTGGGTTACTCACATAGAGCATCCAAGAAACATTCCTATCCTATAACATTCCAAGAAACTCCTTAAAATTTAAGGTAAGAAATATGTAAAAATTATAAGGTATGATTTGAACAGGACGTGAATGACCTGCGTCTTGGCAATGCAAATCTTGTACCGCTAGACCACGGCGGTCTTAATATTGCAGGTTCATATATTTTGCATTTAAACAGCTTTTTAAGCCAATTTGATCTTTGACCATACCTATAGATCAAATTGGCTTTTAAAGTTTCTTAAAACGTCATTCACTAATCATACCAAAATAAATTTTATGGTTTCAGGTATCTTTGTACTCGATGGTTAGGTGTCAGGTATCTTTGTACTCGATGATCTTCGGGCATCGACTGTGCAAGCAAAGCAAGTTTTAATTTACCGTAATTTTTGACAGTACAAAACGACAGCAAGTGTTAGCTTAGAATAGCACCGAAAGGTAACCCAAAGCTAGGTAGATTGTGATCCTATTCCAGTTGCCGGCTACCTACGGGGTATCCATGTCACGAACGAAAACGCTTAATGACCTATGAATGACTAGACCAATGACCATTTTCATCAGCAAATGCAACCTGTATGCAGAAATCCTTATGGATATGTCACTACCGACAAAATTCGTCCTTGCTTAAAGCTAAACGCTATTAAGATAGTGCCAAAGAATCTGCATGCCTACTAGGCTTAGATTGATATTTGAGATCGCACGGCACCCGAGATGAAAGGCTTAAATAAAGCAGCTAGATCCTGTAAAAAGGCGGTATCAAAAGCTGGATTCGAACATATTTAATCGTATTAGGAACAGATTATAATGCCCTTCGACGGATTGCTAACTGACACCGCTGAAGAAAAAGCAATTTTTTTGTTTTAATGAGTGCCATATTCGTAATGAGCATCCCCAAATACCTCGAAAAGGATATCCATATTGATTTTTTTTGAAAAATCGTGTCCGCTATCTTGGATTTAGAAATAAGTGCTATATTCGTAATGAGCACCCTCAAATACCTCGTATACAATACCCAGAATCAAAATCAAAATCAAAATAATATTTATTTTATAGGTAAGCATTATTACACTTGAAATCGTCACATTAGTTAAACTCTACCGCTCATTCGTAAGGCAGATTCCCCCGAGAAGTATGAGAAAGAAACTCTAGGGGTTGCTCTTTGTAAACAACATTTGTACGCATTTGTACGCATTTAACTTGCAGAAATGGAGGTCAAATGCACACTTACATTAGAATAAAAAAAATCTGCAGCCATCGCGATATTGTTATAATTATTATTTAATTTGCAATTAATTAATTGTCAATCTTTAATTGCCAGAACAATTAAATTTTGCCCAACACTGCCTGTAGGGGAGAACGGGGCTAAAAGTGCCGGGGGAAGTTGTGCCGATGCAAATATCTCAAAAACGGAAACAGGTAGCTATATGTTTATATTACGTCTCAAAATGCCGAGAATTCTGGCGGTTTATCGTATACACAGTGGCCAATTTGATTGCGTCTCAACGGTAGTGTGTGTAGGGGCCGTCCAGCGCCACGTGAGTGATTTTTGTGTTCATACTTTTCAGTCTCAAGTTAGCATTTCTGGTGCTACGGATATAATAATATATTTGTAATTTGTCCAATAATGTTAATTTATGCAATTTTAACGCTTTGTGTAGATTGTTTTTCTGACGTATGATAAACTGTTAATGTCATCCAAACGGGGAAAAAGTGCCTTTCATTCGGGCTCAATTGTGCCGTGGCACAGCAACCCCCACCAACCTTTAATAACCTTTATTATTTTGTTTGATATTTTTTATTTGATAGATATAGATAGATAGATTTGAAAAATACAGAGAGGAACTGCTTCCCAGGACCTATTACAAAGGGCAACTGAAGCGGTCATTAAGGACGGGTGCAAATTAAAAACCGATGCGCGTGAATTGAAGATTTGTCACACAACGCTGCAACGGTATGTCAAGAAAATAAAACAGTGGACTTACTCCTTTGGTTGGATCTAAACCGGGGCCCTGATTTTAATTCAAATAGGAATCGATCCGATCGGGTAGCCCATCCACAATACATATATCTCATATCATCACCTATACATATACCTCAACTCGGAAAAGACGCAGTTTCCGATCGGGAGAGGCAATCAAAATCTAGCTGCAAGACTAGTTTTTAATGAAGAACAAGAGAAGTCATTGACGTCATATATCCGAAAAAAAAATATAATGTATAGTAGGAATAAATATAAAGTTATCAAATTATACGGTTTCTTATTTCTAAATCCATTTTAATCCATGTTAAAGGCTAAATATATAAAACGTACAAAAAAAATATTGTCATTTACCTATGCTTTACGACAATTAAAAGATGTACAAACCAAAACACAGCCCTTAGTGCACACTATTATTACGAGTACTCGTGACTAACATATGGCGTTATTTTGTGGGAAACAGCACGAATACACAAGACTTGCTTATAATAAAAAAATGAGCATATACTAACTTAAAAACTTAAGGTCGTTGAATATAACATCAAACAAAAGCCGTGGTGGCTTAATGCTTTGACATACCGCCCCCAAAGCAAGAGACCATGGGTTCGAATCTTGGCTTGCATCTCTGAGTTTTTTGGATATATTCGAAAGATTCGAAATTTAATTTGAAATTTACCATACGCTTTTCGGTGAAGGACAACATCGTGATGAAACCTGCACGTCGAAGAAGGTTCACAACTAGCGGGAAACGTGTGAAGTCCCCAACCGGCGTTGTAAACTCTCGCCTGAGAGGAAACCCGTGCCCAGCAGTAGGACGTATAAATGGGTTGGTGTTGATAATGACTAAGTTTAGTAACAACTGCATTATGGTGCTGATAAGGATACAACTGTATCGTCGTGCTCGGAATTCCATCTTAATTTTTTTCTACGTATATTTTCGGTCAACTTCTTGTCATGTTAGTTGTCATGTTATTTATTTTTATTTTTATCTCCCTCCAACTTTTTCACTGAAATTCCGTTCTTATAATTCAAATAAAAAAGCTATACATATCTCTGTTCATATCTGTGTAATTTACATTCGGTGATTTAGATTTTTAGGTCTAAATCAATCTGCCATTCAGCCAAACAATTCGAGTAAAACTGCAATTCTCATTGTGAACAATCATAGTCCTAATTATTACGAAATATAATTATGTATAACTCAAACTCTTGTTTTTCAATTTCTTGTTTAAAAATTGATATAAATTTTAAAGGAAAATATTAAAAAATAAAAACAAACTATTAGGAAAAAATATAGTTTCCAGTATTTCTCGATTAAAAGCTATATATAGTCCAGTTTTTTTTATTATTTCGTTGGATATTCGTACAGAGCAAGTCTAAAACTGTGAATGTAGATACAGGATGTGGAGCCAACAGTCCTAAACGGTAAAAAAGCATGTGTCAAAACTTGGAAAATAATTAAGTAACGATCATAAATTCCATTATTGAATAAAAATAGTTATTAATTGATTATATGTATTTATTACGATTTTCTATGTAGTATTGACACGGCGCCGACTCGATTTTTCTGTACTAGTTTGTGTTAAACCGTTGCAACAGACAGTGGGTCCAAACTGATAAATCCTGGACTTAGAAAAAAATAATTCGAATAATAAGCAAAGTTTTTATAACATAGCATTCATGACAACTTATAATGTGGCGTCATTTCTTGAAAAGTTGAGTTTCGCCGTTTAATAAAAAATTGTTTAGCATAGTCTAAATTACACTAAAATTGATAATTCTTGAAGTGGAAAGTTGAACATTTTGCTATTATTGTAATACAAAAATAATAGAAATTTTGTTCCCATTACTGATAAAACTACAAGTACCTGTAAATTAGTTCTTCTTGGTTGATTGAATGAAACTGCACTGTAAGCAAGCCATGCGCATTATATTTTCCTATATTTTGCGACAAAAATAAAATATATATTTATCGACACTAAAAACAAATTATTATTATTATTGTGACACCAAGTGACGGAACGAACAAGTCGTGTGCCTGATAGTAAGTGGCGCACCTGTCCATATCAGGTGCAATGCCAATCAGCTTTAAATCACAAAGATCTCTGAGGGGCACTGCCACTGCGTCCGTCACCCCGAGACATATTTGACAAGTCCGATGTGCCTGCAATTTCACCATTTTTACTTATCAAGATATTACACAAAAATAAAAGTTGTCAGGAATGTCATAATACATTATGTCAAAGTTATCAACTGAGTATTCCACAAATTCATCCCAAATCAATTATCAGCTTGGACCCCCTGTGTCACGCCACAAAACCGTAAAATTTTGCATTGAGATTTTTTCTCACTCTAACACACACACAAAAATCGTACAAAACTTATTTATTTAATTACGTTTAGTTAAGTACAAGCAATCATGTCATCGTGTCGTCAACAAAAAACGTCTTATGTGGAATAAGACGTTTTTTGTCACTTATTACAAATGTGTAAAAACTAACTTTTCTATGTGCTTGTTGTTGGATACTTTGCATTATTATACATTGGTAATTGCGTAGCGCATCTTAAAATTTGTGGTTTGTACATTCTCATATACATCAACCTCGCTCTCACACTCAACCACGTTATATTCTAAAATCATTGAGTATTATAATCAATATCAAAAAACGTATAAGTAGTCAGCCTTGAGTCATTATAAGTCTAAAATCTTGAAGAAATATTCGACTTCCAATAAACCATCTTCAGGCAAATCACTACAGTGGATTGCGTTTTGAACCTTATTGTTTCCGAGTTTAGCTCGCATTGTATGTGGCCGCAACAGCCTTGCTATTTCCTGTAACAAATTATAATTATTAATCCATACGAATATAATATTATAAATACGAAAGTAACTCTGTCTGTTAAGTTTTCAGACCTAAACAGCTGAACCAATATAGATGAATTTTGGATAGAGATAAATGAAAAGGACATAGGCTACTTTTTGTGACAAAATTAAATCTTAAAAGAGGTGAAATAGGGGCTGAAAGTTGTACGGAGAATCAATAAAACTTATGAAAATTAGTATAGTACAGTAGAACTTATTCTACGCCGACGAAATCGCAGGCACCAGCTACTTTTAAGAGATATGAAGAGTACGAGTAAGAGTTTCCTATATCGATGCGTTACTTTCTAAAACTCGTATCTTATAAAGAGTGATTATGTAGGAGATGGCAAAACTTTCTATTTATTTTATATTTCTTATCAAGGGTGCTAATTTGGATGAATTACTTTATGAATAGGTAAAATCCAGTATGTGACTATGAAAGAAATGTGATGTGAAATCACCCTGCAAAATTTGTATGTACAATCCATTTTTTACCTTTCAGTAACTTTGTGCTTTAAGATACTAGTTTGAGAAAGTAAGGCGACGATATTTATGTCCTTTACTCAGAGAATTAACGGAATCTTGTCTATTTGAATATTCACCGGATCACAAGGTCCAACTATTTTTCTGAATTCGACAGCAGTATTTTTAGTCTTATCTTTAACCACTAACTCCATTGCAACACACGGACCACTTGAAAGTTCCTGTACCATACCCTGTGAAAAAACAGAACAACATTTACTCAATGTAAGTTAAGTAACAAATAGAAACAAACAATACAATATAACTGCCTCTGTTGTAGTGTTGTAAATTGTAAATAACTCGAGTCCGGGACTCCATTTTAGGACTCGACTCCAATTGACAAGTCTCGACTCATAAAGACAGAGATACACTGATCGATGTAATAATGTGCCTATCGAGTTTCGGAATAGACGTTCGATATTAGTGCTCGAGTCTATTTATGTAACGAGTCGCACTCGAGTTCGAGGCGCGCTTGAGTCTGGTAAGTACCTACTGAGCGGTCCTGTGGTGGGCGAGCTAAATTGTAATTACTGTGGTATAAATAAGTATATCTTATTCTTTTTTTAAAATCACTATATGGGTTTATGTTATTTATTTAATTCGTGGACAATAGTAGTTGTTTTGTAAAATTTAACCCCACATGTCGTACTCGATACTTTGTAGAGTACATGTAGCTTCGAATCGTGTTTTGGAACTCGAGTTTTGTTAAAAACTACAATTGAACTGCATTATCCAACCATCAATACTTATTAATAAAACTAATAATTGAAACCTATCATACTAAACTTCAAAATACCTCGATGGAAAGCTTGAGACGTTTTATAATAGTTGTTGCTATTTCAAAGAAAATAAAAATGTAATAACTTTATTTGTACTTTTATTTTATTCCTATAAATATATTCTTTATTCATTTAATACGTTTATTTATAGTTTTTCTGTTGAGGTCGCATTCAAAGACGTTAATATTTAAGCGTTATAAGTGACAATTATCCATACGAAAGTAACCGAGTTTCATGCATTATTTTTTATTGAATGATTAATCAATTAGTTAATTAAAGTCTGTGCGTTTTGGGTAAGACTGTAACACTGGTACTTCACGCGAAAATCATAAATATTATGACGAATACGACGAAGTGAAATAATGGTATAATATGTTAATCGATATCATCGAGTCAGTGCGTGGCGCAACACTATATATCTTGCTCCCATGCACATTACACGCACACAGATGTATTTTTGTTTTGGTCTCGTCTCAAATACTACAGGGTCGATCTATGGGTACCTATATACTAAATCTATGAGTGCAACTCCTGCCTATTTGGCGAATCAACGCCTATCACGTCACTCGGAGCTAGTAGCAGTGTTGTCAGTTAACAATGTTACAGTATTATTTTAGTTGTACCTGCTGTCATAATGTGAAAAAATTAAGGTGTTAATTACAGTATTCTCGTGCATTATTAAAATAACCTTTGTTAAATGCTGTACTAACGTTACCATATTTTTATACCAGAGTCAGTGATTGGTATCTCGATTATGGGAGTGTGATTATGAAATAGAAATGATATGCTAAAGAGTTCTGAATTTGAGGCACACTTGTTCAAACAACAATGAACACGTCACTACCTGATGTCATTTATTGAATGGCGCGTGTAATGCCTCACGCTATGCAACGTGAGTGCACCGCAAAATTATATCAATATTTGTCTCCGTACACGGCGCGCGGCGGGCTTGCACATATACAGGCAGGCGCTGATACGTTTGTATGGAGTTACACTAGTTTCTAGTCTCATTATACCGCGTTAATAGTTTGTCCTCTATAAACTAACGAGGTAACCCTCGTTAGTTTAACAATAGGATCGCAAAATTATTTGTTCATGAGTCATAACACCTAAAGATAATTTCTGGAAAAATCGCAAAAGCATGGACGCCAGTATCTCGGTGTAGCTAACAACAATTTAAATCTTATTCAGTTATCAAACACACCTTATATTCGGGTACAATGCCTTTATAAACTTCAAAAAATTCGCACGCATTGACAGTCTCCACCTGAATCATGTTTAGCGCAGTGATGTCAAAGCCTCCTTCATCGATGAGTTCCAGCGCTTTGCCAAGCTTGCCTTCTCGAATTGCGTGAGGTTTTACGATACAGAGAGTACAGTTTGACAAAGTGGCTGTCAATCGCAAACGTACAGAGTGGAGGTGTGGTGGCGGGAAGAAGTATTCTAGGTCCTAAAATGAACAAAAAATTTGATGAAACATTGCAATTAAAATCAATTAATAAGTTATGGCACAGTTAAGCTTGGACTAGCCAAGAGATGAAGGCAGATTTTCAAAATCTTCCCAAATGCACAAAGTGTAGAAGTATTTTAGTAATAATTTAAGAAAAAATATTTCAAAATCTATCAATCATGGGTCAGGGCTGCAAACATCCCTATACTACCAATCGTGGCACAACATTGGTAATACCATATAAATAATCTTGAGAATACCTCGTAAATAGCTCACACCTCAGCTAGTGACCGAAATAGCTCCATACACACTACCATCGTCATTAACCCATATACTTCCCAATACTGAGCATGAGTTTTCTCTAAGAGGCTATGCATACAGCGTATTTTTACGCGCAGATGACAAGCGTTTCAAACGATAAAGAATCGTCGTTTTTTATAAATTTTTTTTGTTGTTTCAAATTGAATAAATTAAAAAAAAAACGATTATTAAAAGACAACATTTGGAAAGCCACAGTTCTTATGTGTAAGCCAGTTACAGGTATCCAAACCACTCAATTGCTCCTTACGCGACGCAGTACCGACATGTCGCTGAATTTCTTTTTTTAATAAATGAACTACTTATAATTAACATAGTGCAAAGTTCGCAATAGAACTGTAAATTAGATGTGTCGATTCAAAACATTCTCTCTAATCTTTTTAGTAACTAAACTTTATTTGAAATTTTTTACAGAGTCTAAATCAAGTACATGTTTGGAATCGTTGATATTCTCCCCTTTCTGTTATTTCATATATCCGTTTTGACGTTTAGGGACCAGTTCTTCATTTGCCACGCGTATATAAACGTTAAAATTTAAATATATTATCCAAATTTGATAAATAACAACAGACTATAAGAAGAACCAGTAGATTAGTGTGATACTATAGATATCCATAATGCCAATTGTTAATATTTATTGTCATTATATTTTTGGATACAACTTCATTAACTGATTCAGTTCTGTTGTTAGTGAGTTCAGACTTGTAATTTATTGACATTAATAAATTGTATACCTGTAATGCTCCTTCTTCATCTGTTGAAACATGCATGCAGTTCCTCACAGCATCACTGCCATACAAGGCTCTGATAGTGCCCGGCTCAGCTTTCAAAGGATCACGATTACCAAGAATCTTGTGGCTTTGAGCCACTGCATCCTTTCCAACAATCTCAATGCCATAAACATACTGCTTCGTCAGGTGCTCTAGAAGGAACCTGTGGATATGTAGCGTTTAGACCAGGTGCCAGGAATGTATTTTTTTGTAAACTCGACTTCAAGTAAACAATATTTACATTAAATGCTTAAAATACATTTGTGTGTGTGTGCGTGTGCGTGTGCGTGTGCGTGTGCGTGTGCGAGTGCGAGTGCGAGTGCGAGTGCGAGTGGGAGCGCGAGTGCGAGTGTGAGTGCGAGCGCATGCGTATGCGCGTGCGTGTGCGCGTGCGTGTGCGCGTGTGCGTGTGTGTGTGTGCATGGTGCAAATATCCACAACATAGGGGTGAAACCCAAACATCCGCCTAGTCCCCCGGTGCCAAGCTTCCTGGCTGCATTTTTGGCCACGCATTCAATGCATCTGCCGAAGTTCAAATTGGGCGACAGGTCCATCTCAAGTAGCTGAAGTCAGTCGGCTATCACGAAAAGTTGGAGTCAGCTCAAAGGGACTCCGTTTTGTGGAGAATAGACACGCCTGCGTTTTGGTAGTGTTCGGATTTGATTGGACACTTCCTTGAGTGTCAAATCCAAACGGCTAACCATGGACTCTGGACAAGACTGGATTTCCTCTCCAATGACCCTTACATTGATCAAGTAGCTATTTACAACTGAGCTGTCATCAGCATATGCATAGGTACCAGGAATTAATATATCATTGATATGCAGCAAAAAGTTGCAGACAGTACGGAACCCTGAGGAACTCTATCTATCGCCATATGTTCGGAAGAGTAGCCTTCTAAGACCAATCGAAACGAACGTTCGCTCAAGAAATCCAGGATCCAATTGCAAAGGTCAGTGGGAAGCCCATAAGAGAGAAGCTTACTTGAAAGGCTTGCTTGCCAGACGCTGTCAAAGGCTTTAGACATGTCCAAACACACTGCAAGTGCTCCGCCTTGGTTTTCTATAGCCTCACCCCATATGTGACAGCCATACACAAGAAGATCCCCAGTAGATCCGTACTGGCGATCACTGAGGAAGTCGTTGTCTTCAACGTATGACAGGATATGGTTGTTGAGTACACGTTCCATAGTCTTGCAGTATGGAACTCTGCTTTTCTTTTTCGGCACAGGTTGCACGTTTGTAAGCTTCCACGACCTGGGAACTAGACCAGTCTCAAGTGAGTGGCAGTACAGGCGTGTGAGAACAGGAGACAACTCAGGCGCATAGTTACGCAGGACTATTGCGGGAATTCCATCTGGGCCGCTAGCTTTATTCACGTCTACATTCCGCAGAGTTCAAAAGTACCTCTTTATGGCGTATGCGAACTGGCGCCATAGTGCAGCCAGCCTGAGGTAAGGTAGGTAGTAGGATTCCAACTCGAACTCTCTGCAAAGAGTGAGGCAAAACGATTCGCCTTCTCTTCCACAGGCTGAGCCAGCGAGCCATCCGCCCTCAGCAGCGGTCGCAAAAATGGGCGACAAAAGTTAGATTCGACCGCTTTCAAAAGCATTTGCTGTCTGCTGGATAAGAGGCAAGCTCGACCCCTATGTGGCGCACATGGTCGAACTTGGCCCTACTTAACACGCTTTTGCACTTCTTGGCGACCTTATTAAAAATTTCTTCAACTTCCGAGTACTCTGCGCTTTGCGTAGTCGAGCATCTGCCCAAGCTTGGTACGCGGACTGTTTATGTTCTTCAGCACAACTACAATCAGCGTTAAACCATGGACGAGCTTGGGGTCCATTGGATACATCAGAGTATGGTATGTAATACTCCATACCCAAACGCGAGACCTCGACTACAGCATAAGCACAGGTCGACGAGTCTCCTGAAATAAAACACGCCTGCCAAGGACATGACGCTAAGAAATGGCGCATTTCGTCCCAATCTCCTAACTTGTATCGCCACACCCGTCTCATACCACTAAGGCCCTGATCGGGTGGGGAGTATACGGATACAGTTTTCACCAGACAATGGACGAAAGTACCCAGTGGGGCCTCCACAACCACAGAGCAGCGGTCTGGATCAGTTGTTAACAGAAAGTCCAAGTAATTAGCTGTATGAGACTCAACATCTGGGCTCCTGGTGGCGCCACTGACAAGCTGGGAAAGGCTTAGCGTTAACGCAAGTTCTCTCCCAGCCTAATCGGTCTTTCGTAGCGTTTAGTCCTTAATTGTCAATGAAGAAAACGTTCCTTATTTTCTCATTATAACATAATATGGGCGGGGAATAGTGCAAAGCCGCGTATGCAGCATTGGTAAAAGGCGCGTATTTTAGGTACACAAAACCAAATTTGACAAGAGATACTTTTAACGTTATTACTTTGTTATTTCAATGGCTTTCATTTTTACGGCTTTCATAGTACGCATTAATTGTCGTCTACAAACTAATAGCAATAAATTCCAGTAAATCTTGCTAATTTGATTGCCACGACACTTACGCGGATTTGATTTGGCCACGCACTGAAAACTCTAATTTAAGGTTCGTGGTATTCAACTCAAAGGCATACTATGATACAAGGTAAATGTTTTAGTCATCAAAAGAAAAAACAATGCGAAAATAAAATTAACTTTTTTATTAAAATAATTATTTAGTTTTGAAAATTATTATATTACCCGGTCCAATAATCGCAATTTTCCCCTATATATATTTTAACAAAATAAACAAGTTTCCAATCAAGTAATTATTAATTTTTGTCTAAATTGGACATTTTTTCTATTTAACTGGAAAGTTTTTATTGGAAAATGTATATTGTATTAACAAATACATAATAAATACCGAAATTTTACCTATACATGGACATTTTGGTAGAAATTTATTAGAACTATGGCGGTAGTAAGCCACACACATTACATTACCCATGGCCATTACATTTCGAGGTAAAAAATAAAGTTTATATTTCTCCATACGAAAAAAGAATTCTAATCTTTTTTCTATCAAACTAACAATTCCTCTATAATTTTTACACAGTACCAAGGTACCTATTGCAGCTGTGAGGAATATCATTATATTTTATCATACAAAAAAGTCTTTGTCTGTAGGTATATCTGTTTGTGGAATCGTAGATCCTGATCTTGTTTTTTTTTTATATTAGCCTTCAGCCAATTTAATCGGAATGGTTCTATTGCTATAGCAGCTATGTTTGTTGACCACCTGTTCAGCTGTTTAAAGATCATCAGCTCTTTTCCAAGTTAATCTAGGGATCTCAGTCATAAAATGAATATTTTATTAGACTATCGGCATTTGAAAATCCGATGACCTTAGAATAATATGATAACCTGGATTTCATGTGCTGCAACTAGGAGAGTCTACAGTCTACCCAATCCCTTAACTATTAACAGAAGCCTCGTGTCTGGGCTCATTGAATTAGTCTCGACGAGAGGCTTAGGTGCAGATAGTGTCGCGCCAGCGCGCGATTGCACTATGGGAAATAGTAGAACAACGGCATATCAAAAATGGTTTTGACCAATGTCTTAATTGAAATACACATTTACTTTTATTTGATAGTTCAGATGACATACTTTGTTATAATGAAGGTTTTTTATTTTAGATATTATGTTGATTTAATAAAAATTCATCCGAAATGTCCGTTCCCATACTCATCTCGTTGTGCCGTATAATTTTGGAACTTTCGCCGTCATATTTCGTATTGATTTTGTAAGTGTTATAGATTTTTATAAAGCACATCTTACGTAAATGTCAAAAATAGTTGATATTTTTCAAATTTGTTGTGTAATGTTAAGTAAAATAAATAATAATAAATAAATAAATAGCGCACACACTCAACATAGCCCCGCACTAGGGAAACCCTGTGTCGCGGGTGCCATGGGCACACATATAGACAACCACAAATTACACCCAAACTCACGAGAGAAATAAATGTAGGCCATACAAACATTTCTCCCGGCCCGGGAATCGAACCTGGGACCTCTGCGTGGCAGTCCGGCATGGTAACCGTTCGGCCACGGAGGCAGTATATCAAATATAATAAAATAAATCATAATTAAAACGTTATTAAATTAAGACATTAACCTACCTTTATCAAATTCATCAAAGGTTTTGACTGTTAGTGAAGCTTGCCGAAGCTTCGAAATATGTATTATTTCATAGCGCAGGTATTCATTATCAAAATGTTACAAACATCAGCTACGGGTTTTTGCGGTTTCTAAAGATATGAAAAAAATAACGCAGAAAAATACCCTTATCAATGCAACGCGATAGGATAATATAGATGCGGTTGCATTTATCATATTTATCAATATTATTCACACTACACCATTACTATATAATGCTCTTACACATTAATTTCATAAATTTATTAAAACAAGCAGTCGTTTCTTATTGAATATACTTTTCGAACTCCTTTGCAAACGAGTACTTTCAAATGTTAGAGTTACTAATACTTTCCTACATTGTAGGTGGAAGAATTGAATCGGCTCTAGAAACATTTTTGCGAGATTGTTATGAACTTTCGGAGGACAATTTACGTTTCATAATCAGTAATTAAAAAAAAATTTGCTAACACAGTTTAACAGTCGATGGAGCCAAGCATCACGAAAGAAAGAAGCCTTTTTGAGGGTTAACAGTGATTGGTTGGATCAAGAGTTTTCTGTTACTTTGTCGACGACAATCGATTCCATTCCATCAACTTCAACTGGAAAACAAGGAAGACCATGTCTTAATGTCTTATGAAAATTCTTCAGAATCTAGTAAGAAGCGCAAAAAGACTGAATGAATATGGATTCGAACACGTTTATGGTGCATATATTCAAGAGCTGCGATCAAAGGGAGAAAGTAAAAATATCAGTGCCAAAATTGATGGACAACTCTAATACCATCCAAACGCTGAGCGATCAAGAAGGATTAAGTGTATTTATTGAATTGGATCTGACCATGGCTCAATATTTACATTTGAAGAAAGTTATGGATGAACGGAACTGTTTCTTACACCACCTTATTACAAAGTACAAAAAGTAAACAAAACTGTTACACACCTGCATCAGCTACTGAAATTACTAACACATGTGCAAAAATGTTAACCCTACAGGATTTATTAGATTACACAACGGCGAGGATATTGATGATAGATTCCGTGTACAAAAACGGTTTTAAACAGTTGGTTTTATACAGTATATGAGGATGTGATGACTCGTCTGGTGAAAGTGAGTATAAACAAAGACTTCTAGAGGAGACTGAACTTGTGTCAGATTCATACTTATTCGTCGCATCTGTTGTGCCCATCAGATTAATTGATGATACGACAGTTGTTTAGCGAAATTTTGCGCCTTCATCCGTGAGATTCTGTCGCCCTATTTTAATTGAGTTCGAAAGAAACTTCTGAGAAAACTAAAGCTGTTGTTAACGATATTCAAAATCAAATGTATTCTTTGAGTCCATCGTTGATTGTTAAGGAAGGCAATAGCGTTTAAGTTAAATATGGCAAAGTAGTTCAAGTATTAACCGACACTCCTTTAAGTTCAACATGTAATATTTGTGGTGCTAATCCACGTCTAATGAATAATTTACAAAATGTAACTGCTAGGTCCGAAAATGAAAATTCTTTTCATTACGGATTATCAATACTGCACCTCTGGATTCGCTGTATGGAGATGATTTTGCATATTTCTTACAACCTTTCGTTTCAAAAATGGTCAGCTACGGGTGACGAAAATAAACAAACAAAACAAGAGAAGTAAACTGTGGTACAAAGACGCTTTCGAGAAGAGCTTGGATTAATAATTGATAAACCACGGCAATGAGGTGGTAATACCAATGACGGTAACACTTCGAGGTTTTTTTTATAATGCAGCCTGCTCAGCTGAAATTACAGGAGTCGATGGAATTTTGATAAAGCGACTCTATGTAATAATTTAAGCTTTATCGTCTGGCATAATGATAGATTCCCAAACATTTGGGGAATATGTTTTGAAAACTGCAAGAATATACGTCAGTAAATATGATTGGTATTATATGCCATCTTCGGTACACAAAATATTAATTCACAGAGAAGGTATAATTCATCATTTTGCAGTGTTACCTATCGGACAACTTTCAAAAGACGCTCAAGAATCTCGAAATAAATACTACAAAAAATTTAGATTACACCACGCAAGAAAGTGTTCAAGATCTGCAACAAATGAAGATGTATTTCACAGTTACTTCGTACAGGGTCAAGAGCACGTCAAGCTTGACACTAAAGGTTCAAATTTAACTTTATGCCGCTTGCAATAAGAACGGTCCAAAGTCCAAAGTGTCAAGCTTGATGTGCTTCTGATCCATTTATAACCAGTAACCGAAAACCTTATGTTAAAAATCGACAGGAGCTTGACGAAGAGACGCTACGTCTATTGAAAGTGGACCAACTCATCACTGATTCTGAAAAAGATGTAATATAAATTACAGTAATAATAGGCCATGATAGAAGGAAGATGCTAGAGTCTACAACAGATATCCGAAATAATAACAAATATGCTTTCATGTTTTTTCTTGTCTCGTATTTTTATTGTTTTATTTTATATAAGTTTAAGTAAAATTTATAATTACATTTAATTTATTTTATGAATAAAGAATTACCGTAACATGACATTTCCATTTTGTTTTTAATAAATATTGGGTAGTATTTACTAGAGAGAGATTTATGATTTTGCACATTTTTTTATCACTCAATTACGGGTAGTTAAATAAAAATGTATATGTGTTTAAAAGCGTCGTAATTCCCAAAAAACAAAAAAATTACAGATTTTTGGTCCTTAACTGACCTATATTTCCCATAGTGCATTGGCGCGATCCTGCCCAACCTCAGTCTGGTTGAGCCAGCCGACATACGTCACTATGTTCCGGCTGAGACATAACGGCGATGGGGACGACGTCGATAATCCCAGGTGCTAGGTGGGTTCCGGTGCGCAAAGCCGATCCCGGGACCCTCCCATTAGAGTACCCGAGAAAGCCACCGCGGGGTTTAGCCGGCACAACCTCTCCTTTGCCCCCGCGGTGGAGACGTATCGTAGGAGGATATCCCCACGTAAAAATAAAGGTACAAATTGTGATTCTTGGAGTATATCTTTTCTAGCGAGGGTAGTTCTTTAGTTTTGAATCTATAAAATAACAAAAGATTTTCTAGGAAGATTTTGATTTTTTAGGAAGATTCGTAGGTAAAACCCACTTGTATACTCTACCAACATTTCTGTCTGCATATAATCACTCAACTCCTCAACTACTTACACAAGAACTATTGGGCTTGGACTCATTAAATTGGTCTCTATGGATAGTTGTTAGTTGGTTTATTTCTTATACTAAAAAATATTGGAAAAGCGGATCTTCGTGATAGATGATACCTATTAGGAAGATCCGATTGTAACTTAACGTAGTTTTAAGAAAAAGAATAACGCGCACTCATAACACACTCATAGCCCTGCACTGGGGAAACCAAGCAGGGTGCCTACCATAACCTTTCAAAAAACAATCTTATTTCAATGGAAGCTTATAATAAGCTTCTTATTATTAATATTACTCATATTCGTACGACATTCATACGACAAACCTATCAACCAAGTAATGTATTATTGCTAAAGTGACTGAAAGAACGAATGATTTCCCAATATTGCCTATTCCTTACTAAGAATATGAAAGAAATAACGCTATATGAACTGTATAATGTCGTCTCTTTCTTTTTTTATGGTCCGAATCTTCCTACTGTGATATAATTCCTACTACTACTACTTCCTACTGTAATGTTAAAGTGAAATAGTGAAATGTTAAAGTAATATAATGAAAATGTGAATTCTCAGAATGTAAACAATATTTACATTCAAAGAATTTTAACTGCTAAAAGAAGAAAAGAAAAAAAAAGAAAAGTATGCAATAATCAAATATATTAAAATTACATACGTTGTTTTTAATTATTTTTCCGCATTTCAATGAAGATAAATAGATAAAACAAGCTGAATCTTGATTGTCACGTTGTGAATTCGGAATTATAGTCTAGTGTCAACTGTTAGTGTCGCCAAGACGCATACAAATGGCGCTGTCATAATTTTATTTTACAAAATAAACATCGCGTATTTTTATTTAAGGAGAAATTATTTCCTTATTACTATTAAATAAAAAAATAAATAAAATTTTGAAGAGACGTATGTGAATAAATAAGTTTAACTTAACTTTTAATCATTACAAATCAACATTTAGACAATAAATTCGATAATATTGTTTCCATTAATGTAACTATTTTAAGATTGGTAAATTTGACATAAGAACAATATTACTTTAATGTTAAGTCGCGTCATAGTACGAATTGAGTGAATGAGTAGTCATAAAGCTGCCAATAAAACACCATAGTTGTAACATTATAATAAGCTTACTTTAAGCGCATCATGGTGCGAACAATAAATGTAAGGTTAATATATTGTTCTATGAGGTTGTGGTAGGCCCCCAGGTGACATGAACACAGACATAGACAACCACAAATTACACCCAAACACACGAGAGAAATAAATGTAGGCCATACAAAATTTTCTCCCGGCCCGCGAAAATCTGGGACCTCTGCGTGGCAGTCCAGTATGATTACCGTTCGGCCACAGAGGTTTAAAGTTAAAGGAATAAAACCATTATGATAATTTCTTTATTGAATTTTCAAGTAAACTGTTATAAATAAGGGTTTTTTAAAATTTTAATTTAAGTTGTATTTTTAGTAAAAATACACAAGACCCCAAGTGAACAATTATTAATTGTAATATAATTTAGACAGTGTTATTACCATAACTATACAGAAATTAATTACTATTTACTGCATATAATGGTTTCTGCAAAACAATTTTGGGTAGAAACAGGTTTAAACCAGGCGCTTTGTATGAAAACACTTTTAAAACTTGGGCAAGCAAATTGGATTTTAATCCACTACCCATCTCTGCACCTGGTGACAGATCCGCAGTATTGTTATTTAACGAATTCAGGCTTTCCGTTGATCAGTCACAACTGGTGTCAAGTAACTACATGGACTAGCATGCAAAACTCAAATTGGCTACATGTGTCAGAAACGCAGAATTATCCCATGCTAGTTACACGCACTTGCACTATCCTCAACAATGTTACAATTTTCAAGAGAAGCCAAACACTTAAAAATAGAGTAGACATATTAGAAATTTGTTTATAACATAGTAACACATGGTTAATATTCACAGGCACACTGTCTTAACAATCTGTATATTGTTAGGGACACCGTGTATCTTTACTGATGGTATGTGGATGCATGGTGGGTTACCATTAGAATAATATACTCACGGGTAAGTGGGATCAGTCTGGTAACTTCGGTAAATGTAAATCACATCATCAGAGGTCAAATGAACTTTCTTCATCTTGGTGATTTTCAGTCCATGCTCATATAAATGTGTTATAATCTTCCCAGCAATACTTGTAGGAATTGGCTTAATCATTCCAAATGTCCTTAAATTACATAATGAAAGAAATACAACTAAGTAAATAAATTATCAGCCATTTATTTATTTATTATGCAAATTAGGTATCTTAATGATGAGTTGCAGACACCAGCCCACTACACCATAGCTTGTTATCTGATCGATCAGATACTTAGTTGTAGCTTTAAATCTAAATAGCCCAAAAAAAACGGCTACAATGCGGATTACTGAAACTTAAATTAAAGTCAACATATTGTAAAGATATGGCAATCCAATTTTTGTATTTTATTTGAATTATTCATTAGGTATAATTCAAATTATTTGTATAGCAATGTTTTATACTTACACCTGCATATCTTTATGTAATTTTCTTCTAGTATCTTCACAGCCGAATTCAAGTATTTTAATAAGGCGACCTAGTATATTTAATGTGCAGCCTAAGAAGAAACTATCTAGTTTCACTCCATTCACTTTCATCCGACGTAAGAAGACCTTTCGAGTTTTCAAATCGATCATCTCCAAACTATCGTCAGTAGGGTAATAGAAGACATTGAACCGACGAACCAAACTCGCCTGGTCATCGTACCATTCCCCAACAAATGCATATTTATCCCTAAAACTCCCCTCCTAAAACCGAAAAAACAGTATAGTTTACTTTAATAATAAAATTTGATCACAGCATGTAAACAGAATAGCAAACTTTACCATATATTCTAACAATAAAACAAATTATTAAGTGTTTAGAGATCAGTGTATTACGCCTTGTATTAATATTATTAATCTTTTCATGTGTTATATAATAAATAAATACTTCGGCCTAAAATTTTAATCTAAACAAATACGATCACAATACGATATTTTGCAAACAAACAAATCGAAAGTCATTTGAAATTGACATAACAACGGTGGAGGGCGCTGGAAGTACCCACGAATCTCAAACATAATATAGATGCGTTAAATCCGGACGATGCAATACCTCTATAAAAAATACAAAATATTTGTGAAATTTAACTAATAATAATTTTAGGAATTAAAATTTTTAGGATTTTGATTATAATGACAGCCTATCTTAGCTAAATTAAATACCTATTTCTTGGCGAAATCGCCATTTTTTTGTATAATTTTTATAATAATATTAAACTACCGTACATAGTTATTTTTACTTGACATTGGCAAAATCATTGATTATTTCGATGGAGCCATAACATTTAAAAGAAGAAGAAAGAATCTCAGAAAAAAATATTCTTAATATTTGAACGGACCAAAAACTTTTTATCTTTCATGGCTCTTATTATTGGATTTTTAGTCCAGACATGGAATTTCAGCAGAGACAGTATAATTTGTTGAATCTATAATCTATACTATTTTTTCCATCCTCTAAGATCTATACCTAAAATTATAATAACAGCATTGACTTTATAATTGTAAGTCAATGAATAACAGGGAAAAAAATAAATGGCAAAAAAACGTAGACGGAGAAAAAAATGTTTTTTTTTTTTCATACGAATGACGTATCGCACTTAGCAACTAACTTAATATTATCCCAAAAATTGCGTTAATGTTAATAATTTATCTCCAAAATTTCGCTATATTGAAGTGTCATTCATATAAGATTCAATTTCAAAAAAACAAGACAACACTGTCGCTTTGTTAAATGCATACATTCTTTCCACCATTGAAGAGATATAGATACCTTACATTGAAAGAAAAAAGTTTTATTTAAAAGATAGCAAAAAGAAATTTAAGATTTGGCTTGATGGATTTATTCCGGTGCCGTGAAACTAATATTAAAAAAACTAAACAGGTAATATTAATATATTAAGATAATACTATGTTAGTTGTCATGTGCGGTATGTACTTTGAGGTGTGTACCCCTTAGTTAGACGATGGAAAAAAATAAAGGAGTGTACCCAAGTGTATCACATATTAGACAGCTCTAGTAGGACTAGTGGTGTTCATGTAAAAAAATATCGATATTTTTTCCGATGTTATATATCGAAATGCTGTATAGATATTTTGCGATATATCGGTATAAAAAATCGATATTTCTAATATATTTATATTTATTAAATCTAATGAATTTTTATATATTTGTTATAATGTATATTAAAATTCATTCGATTTAGCGACAAGTCGCTAAAACGGCCACACTGCCAATCGTAGAAGCGTGAATCAATATCCAGAACGACGCACCCTCGACGCACGGCGTTGCTCACAGATGGCGTCTCTTGTCAGGCAAAATATATTTGTCAACACATACGAAATCCTTTAAACAATACAAAGAAAGAAAAATTTCATTACGAAAGACAGCAAAGGCTGCCATTTTATTTCCGACAGCAATATTGTTCACACATGCAATATTATTGACAATCCAAGTTTATGTATGTTCCCAACACAACAATATCGCCCGCACACGAACAATATTATTGTAGGTACATGCGGCTAGCCAATGAGAATATAACCACTACGTCAGCCTCAGTTTACACCTTAGAGGATGGAAAAAAATAAAAGAAAGGAGCTGCCCTAAGTACAG